GTTCTTGAAATTACTTTGTCACATTTTCCATAAATAACGAACAAATTAAAATAATCCTCATTAGTATAATTTAAACGATCCCCAGACATTTTTATTTAAATTTTCGGCAAAAACTATTCAGACACAATAATAATTTGACAACTAACTTAATAAATGTCATATTATTTCAATTGTTTCCAAGTGTTTTTGGTCATGGCCAATTTGACAACAGGTCTGATAACGAGAAAAATTGTCCAAAAAATAGTAAATATCTCTGAAAGTACTAACAGCAGCCCTAACAATGATGATATATATGACTTGGAAGGAAATTTCAATCTGCCTACGACAGAGTAAAAATATATAGGGTGTTCCATCTAAGTTAACAAAGTTATCGCTGTTTGAAGTTATCAATGTAACGGCAAAAATGAAACACCTAGTATTAAATGTTTTAATTTGTTAGTATACCATAATGTAGTGTTACCTATGCCATTTACAGGTACCAAAAATCTACTTGATATCCTTAAAAGTGTTTCTAGCATCTCCGCGGACCCTTGCATCTGTCAAAGTTTTTCTTTAAAAATTAATATCTCAAAACCTATAACTCCTAGATATAGGGAATATTTAATAAAATGACCCTCAAATTTCACGTAGAATACGAAAATGCAATAATATATAGGTTGTTTCATTTAAAATAACGAAGTTGGTGTCGACTTCCGTTATAGCCGGAAGTGCACTTACAAAACAGCTATGAGCCTATTATTTTCTGTTTTTTGAGAGACGTTATTACGATTTTTTTAAATAAATTCAGGGTCCTACAGAACAACTTATGATAGTCTCAAAACTTTCTGATCTTTGAGATACATTAATACATATAATTTTTTGTCAATAATCTGCTATATGTCGCTAACTAGGATCTTACACAGTGACATTATTTTATGACATCTTTTTTGAGTTTTTAGAATTTAATTACGGTATACGCTGTATGTCATAATGTAAGATTTTATTTTACATAAAATGGTGTTCATGTTGATATCGCTCAAATCGCAACGGTTTTTGATTAAAACGCAATTTGCTATCCCAAAACTAATCTGCTTCTACTCCATAATATACAGGGTGTATGGAAATGAAAGTGGCCATATTTGAAGGTGCAATTCTACTTCCATAAAAAGTTGTTACTATTAGTTAAAATGTATTAAAAAAACGTTTGAAGGTAATGAAATTGTTATAAGGTAACTTGATCTAAATTAGTTTATTTCATCCAAGGATTTTTAAAATATAATCCATCCATTCTCGAATTTCCAGCGTATTAATGAATAGAAAACAGTTAATTTTGGAACAGTCAATTGCGTTTTTCTCAGAAACAGTACGTTTTCTGTGATTTTAACATAAATGTATAGTATACAGGGTGTTTGTAAATAAGTGCGAAATATTTTGGGGGGTAGTTGCCGAAGTTATTGTGTGAAAAAAAGTTCATATAAACGTAGGTCGAATTATGTTTGGTTTCCGAGACACAGTGTTTAAATTTTAACTTTTTATTTATTTCTATTAATTATTTAAAAGTTTTAGATATTTTCTCGAAATTTGAAAAATGCTTTGGGGGGATAAATGTGCATTTTTTGGTGCAATCCGAATATTTTTACTTGCACCTTTCTGGAATCTGGAATTGTGGGGAGGGTAGCTTTTAAAGCTACAGCACTTAGGTTCCATTGGGCCCCTTGTACCTCCTCCCATTAGGAGATCAATCCACCTGAGCCGTTAACCAACCTATCATAGAGAAAAAGGTGGTGACGTTGCTCAGGGGGATATCTCTAATATAGGCCATTGAAGGCCAGCGTTCTCCCAACACGGATTATCTTATCGACTGCCGAGTGCATTCGCATAGCACATGTACTGTCTCATCTTCCTGTTCGCAACTTCTACAAAGAGGTGTTTCACACTTCCTCATATTGTAAAGGTGTTTCCTTAGTCCGCAATGTCCAGTTTGAATACCTGTCACCAGGCGAAGATTTGACCTAGACATGGCCAGGTATTTTTTGGCTGTATCTTTGCTAGGATATTCTAAGAGCTCCTTAGCGAAATGACAGCTATTTGTTTCATCCCACCGTTTCATAAATTCTTTATAGGTGTTTTCCTTAATAATTTCAGCAAGTACTGACAGCGGAAGCATACTGGAGGGACCAGGTCCAAAAATATTGAGGCCCAATGCACTCCTGACTAGCTTGTCAGCTTCTTTATTCCATTGCACCGCTCGTGTCCCTTTACCCAACATACAGATATGCTGTTGAAGGCCGAAGCCACGACCAGTGCTTGGTGGCATTCCCATACTGTCCTAGTCAATATCTTATGATTACTCAAGGTCAGTAGTGCTTGTCTACTATTTGTGTAGATTCTGATGGTTTTACCCGTAGTATGCCTGCGGGCGATTTCTTTAACGGTTATGATTATGCCTGCTAATTACGTTTGTACAACGGTAGCATGCCTGTCCATTGCCCACTGATATTGAACATGCAAGGATCTAGAGTATATTCCACATCCTGCACCCTCCTTTTTTTATCCGTCTGTGAAGAAGTTGATTAATCTCCACGGGCGGCCTCCTCCTGGCTCTTAGTGAGTACGGTGTAGGGTTTGTCGAACGCAAACCGGGGAGAAATACTGTCAGTGTCTGCCTGCAGAAGGGGCATCTTTCTGACGACCCCATTCCATGGGCGACTCCTAACATCTCCGCATCCTACATCCGGTTTGAAACCAATGTTCTTGAGGCGAAGCATAGTTGTCAAAGTCACTTCTCTTAGATAAATATCCAGAGGTGACAGACACAGGATTACCTTTTTTGCTTTGGTGGGTGTTGTTCGCATAGCTCCAGTTATGCTCCGAAGGCAATCCTTTGTACTTGGCTGAGCTTCTGTTTAGCTGTCGTCTGCTGGGATTTCGGCCACCAGACATTGGTCTCACTCTGGCAATGTATATCCACATAACCACTTTGGTTTCATTCCCCAGGTTTTGCCAACAGTTCTGGGGCACTACTCATACGATATGTACGCCTTTTTAAATGTTATTTCAGAGTGAAGATTCCATGTTAACTTTGCATCGAGTGTAACCCCTAGGTACTTCACTTCAGATGTAAAGCTTAGAGTAGTGTTTAGGAGAGTTGGTGCCTTTGTTGGCCCCAATTTTCTCTTCCTCGTGAAGAGGACCATTTCCGTCTTCCTGAGGTTCACTGACAGAGCATGGTCCTCACACTACTTTTCAATAGTTCTTAGGGCTGTTTGCTTTATTTGGCAAAGAATCCCTTCGAATTTTCCTCTAATCAGCATAGTGAGGTCATCTGCATAGGCGATGGTGTAGATGCCGATTTCCGAGTTGAGGTGGCATAGGAGACTGTCTAGAACTAAGTTCCACAGCAGTGGTGATAAAAGACCTCCCTGCGGACAGAATTTCCCTCACGGAGACGTCTCCCCACACTGATGTGTGAGCATATTTGATATCTGGTAAGAGAAACCCCTCTCTCCATAAGAGCTGAGTTGATTTTTGAGAAAGTCGCTTGCACCGTTAAATAAAAGATTAACAAAACCTACAATAAAATATGATTTATTTTTTCCCTCAAAAACGGTGCATCCTATGAAAAAAATTGAAGAGACCAATTTCATTCAGAATTGATGGCGGATTTCTAAAAAATATCCAAACGGGAAAACTCAGTGGCGTACCATTTTTTTTATTAAAAAATATTGTCACTAGTGTAATTAGAAAAATTTCAGATCACCCAAAGCGTTTTTCAAATTTTGAGTAAATATTTAAAATATGAATTGACCTTTAGCAGATGATCAAAAACGCAGCACTAAAGCATTTAGCTTACTCAAAATCTTACCAATACAAATTTCAATGCATTATATATTTTGGAGAAAAAAAAACTAAAATTTGATTTCAAAAGAATTTTTTTGGTCCAAAACACAATGTAGAAGGAGCAAAAATGAGACAATAAATTAGCATTGTATAAGAATAAGTATCCAACATTGCACTGCTGCTACTGTATACTAAAAATTCCTAAATCTTAGCGTCATCAATATATATGATTCGTTTACAATGAACAATGACAAACCGTTACGTTTACGCTCGAGATAATGCGATCGTTAATTGGTTGAATAAAATCTCGTGAAAAGTTACACCAATCACCGGCCGGTAAAACAGAATATTGTGTTTTGATCTAATCTTAATCTTAATATTTTAATAATTTCTAATTTTACCGAAATTTAATAGCCAACGTGAAGGAAACAAAATTAATGGTCACATGGCTTGTAATCATTTATGAAGGCGCTGTAATTTGGATGTGCAAAACTTAAGGAACGTAGAAAAAAAACGACAAATTTCGTTTACCAAGCTAGACTTGTTCTGATACTTGTATTTCCACTGAATCTATTAGAATTCAAAATCTACTTGAATATTACATAATCAAGTTAATAGTGCTTATATATTAGCTTACTACAAATTAACTACAATAAAATTTGCACTTTGATCTAAGAATCGAAATTATCACACCAATGAATTTCTTAGAAATGATAATTTTGAATATACCATGGAATTACGAATGTTTTTACGCTTCTGTAAACAGTTGAATTCATTGTGTAGTGTGACCCAGACCACTAAACAAAATTATTTGGTTTGACAACGGAAATAGTCGGTATGTCTTTATAGTATAATCCACATTCATTGTATAACATCTCAGCTTAAATAAATTCTTAAAAATCGGAGTTAAAAAGGAGATCTGCTATATCAAACATATATTAGGAGTAATATTATTATTTAGGTATATTCAAATAATGTATTTCCTTTGCTTGTACTTTCATGTATTTCTTAAAAATGTAGGGATCATAATTAATTAAAAGCGACTCAATTATACTTCAAGGAATTGGGGAACTACTTAAAACTATTGGACCTTGAAAGTTTGAGCGAAATTTTTTCATTTTAATTTTAAATCGTTATAAATTATAACATTCGAATATGAATGAATATGAATTTTGTTTCAGGTTCATGAAGAGGAATTATGAGAGGATGTAAAGAACACAACAAGCGCGTAAAAATAAAAATATTCGTCAACATATTAATTTAAAAAATATGTTTCATAGTGATATTTACTAGTGTAGATAGACTTTTAGTATATGTATTTATTTATTTATTTAAAAAATTGCTCGAAAATGTTTGATGGAAATTCTAGTGTAAAATTATTTAAAATGATATTAATTTTTTGTTTAACAAAATGTGTATTCCCCGCAACCATTTCGCACTTTTTGGAAAGCCCTTGCTCCAACATTTTTCAGTACCGCTATGACGAGAATGCTTTGTTATACGGAAGTGTTCAAATTGAATGTCCTGAAACCAACAAGATACAACTTAACATAGAACTGTCTGTGGGAAATAGTGTAGAGGTAAGTGCACATTAAATTTTTTTTGTCTTAGATACACTTTTATTCTACAACAAATTTAGTTCCTGTTAAATGGTGGAGTTAATATTCAACAAAATGTAATCTTATTATAATATAATATTTTGCCACGAATTATCCTCATTTAATCAGATCTTTATCATAACGAATTTACGGTTACAGGTATCCGGTTATTAAAATTGACAATATATTTTGTTTAAAAAAGATAAATGTGATCAACTTTAATTGATATATCTATATTTCGAATAGATAAAATGGCAAATGGCGATAATTACTATTTATTAATTTTTAACTCTCTAGACAAACATGCTGAAGTAGTTGTAAACAGTAAAAAATCAAAACCAGCAAAATAAAATACATTGGGAGAATTAAGTTCTTTTAAGATTTGTCTTTCTTGCTATGAAGAAGGAAAAATATTGTTTTTTACTCTTTATTAAGATATTCGGCTAATTCAAACAAATGTTTACATTCTCAAATAATGCACCTTTCAGAGAAACATTCTATATTCTTGCTTTCACCTTTGATAAAGCTTGATCACGTAAAAACTAGGTGCTACAGAGATCTTTTCGTTTCCACATTTTGCTTGAGATTGTTTCATCAGGCAACTTCCTTCTCGTTATAGTCATTAACACAGAAAATTATACAGGGTCGCTACGGACTAAACGGCAAATGTTATAGAAACTTGTTTAGGTGGGTACGTGTAGGTTGATTACGGCTACATTTTAAAAATATTTTGAAATATACAGCGTGTCCAGGAAATGCGTACCATATCAAAGTTATGTATTTTTAAATAGCCTTAATTAGTGAGAATACGTTAAAATACCAATATTAGTAAAGTCATTGAAGCTGAAAATCAGCTGTAACCTCCGAATTATTTGAAACTGCATGGATTTGCATGAAAATTTAGAATAAGGCTCATCTTAGGCTCAAGTTCAAAAGTAACATAAGTCCGATTGACGGTTTTTGTTTCTTAGGGGTAAAAACTACCCCTCAGTAAAAAAAAATTGAAAAAATTAAGATTTAAGCATTTTATTGATAAAAATCTTGTTCGAGCACAAAGATTAAATAATGTTCCATGTTCTCGAACATGTTTTATGATATATTTGATCTTTTCGACCATTTATTTAATCCTTAAAAACTACACCTATGCAAAAAATAATGATAAAAAATTACTATTTAAATATTTGGAATGATTAAATCGTGCAATTATTTAAAATAAAAGTTACCTTATAGCTAACAAAAGAATTTTTCCCTTTCAACCCCTAAAAACCACCCCTGTATTGACAAAAATGATAAAAAAAATACTTTTTAATAGCTTGGAATGCTTTAAGGGTGCAATTATTTAAAATAAAAATTCCCTCATTGCTTATGAAAGAATTTGTATCTCATAACACTTTTCAACCCTTGTAAATCACCCCTGTGCTAAAAAAATTATAAATAATTACGTTTGGAATCTTGGAATGCTATATTTGTGCAATAATTTAAAATAAAAATTCCCTTATATTGTTTATGAAAGAAGATTTTGCCATTTTCAACTCTTATAAACTACCCTTTTACCAATATTAATGTAAAATATTTTTATTATAATCGATTTATTTATCATAAAAAAAAAATACTACGCTGCATATAAACTTTTATACATGCAGATGCGCACTTGAATCCTAACATTTTGCTCCAAAAAATGTCATTGGTTTTTTTACCATAACTCGGTTAATTTTGAAGCTATAGTATCCTACAAAAAAAGCATTTTAAAGATAATTTCAAGAGCTGTATAATCGTTTGTATATAAAACCCTTTAAGTCCTTTGTTTTTTAAAGGGATAAGATCGAAGGGCTCGAGACAGGTCGTTTTTTCACTAAAATGGATACTTCAAGCGGTGATAGCTCCTATATTTTTTATGCTATAGGAATAAAAAAAGCAAAACATTTGTTGAAAAAAAGCTACATTTTGTTGTCTATAATTTTTTACGTATCTTTCATAGTTTCAGAGTTATTATATAAATAAGGCAATTTTTTTGAATAATGAAAAATACGTTTCCAACTTTTACTGTACATTATTAAAAAAATACGCATTCTAAACCGGCCTAACTTCAGGATCGTATGAAAAACACTGAAGCAAAATTAATTGTAAATGGTCTACGATTAATTTTAATTCTGATGGAAATGGTACAGCGTTTACTGCTCATTTTTCCTTAAAAAATACGAGCAACCCATCTGTTTTTGACGATAACTCCTTCAATTTTGCTCTAATAAATTTTTATAAGTGTTCATTTTGAAGGTCTTTTTGATTACTGCAAAATGTTAATGGGACGGTCAAAATATAGTGAATCACACTGTACGTTTGGCATCCACTTTGAATTTTTTTTCGGTTGTTGTTCTCAAAACGAATTAAAATGATTGAAAGTCAAACGCGACACGTCACTTCAGGAGAAATAAATAATTACGCATATTGTTAAATACATGACATTTTATTTTTGCTCACAATCAGTGTAATCAATCATGCTGTACCTAAAGATAAATATTCATTGTTGCAAATTTCGAATACAAATACCTACGTGATCCTGTTGGGATAAAAATTGCGAACTGATCCTTTGGAAATCCCGGTGACTAATGTTTGTGTTTCGAATTATGTAATATGTATAACAATAGTAACACACGCTTAAAAATTCATAATGACCTCAGCGTATTAATTCTAATTTTTAACTACCGATCCCTCACCATCTAGCGATCGGTGATTGTTACCATAAGAATTCCGATTAATGCGGATGTTTATTTAGCGATCTATTGTTAAACTGGTTATTAAATATAAACCGTATATTAATGCAAAATATTATAGTTAATCTTTATGTAACCACCACTCTAATGGGCTAAAGACAAAGAATATTTGCAAAATTAATAATCGAGTAAAAAATGGGTATTTCCGAAAGATAGGTAAATTCTAAATTTAGTTGGATATAACTGTTACAATAATTACCTATTCTCAAAAAAAATATATACTGATGAAGCTTAGAGCCACCTGTAGATATATAATAGTAGCAGAGGAAATACTTCAAAATTTGAAGCTATTTTCCAGTCATTCTGTATACAGGGTGTTACAAAAAAGTAATTGAAAGCCTTAACTACAGAATCCTTGACTGAACAACATAGGATATTCTTTATAATATTTTTCATTTAGACGTTTCTTTTTCCAAATACAAAATTATAATTAAATAAAAAATATTGTTCCTTTTGAACAATTTTGAAATTTTGTTCACTTTTATCATATATCAATATATCTTTTGATAAAAAAATTTCGTACGATTACACACTGCATCATTGGTTATTTTGACGCCAGAGTGGGTAATGTAAAATTACCTCATACAAGTACGGTTACATTAAGCGTGTAATTTTACACATTTTGTGTGATTCACCAAAATGTAAATTTACATTATCGATATACAGGGTGATTCACAAACGGTGACCAAAAATGAAACCCTCTATTCTTTGGTGAATTTTAATGCGAGTCTCTCGTATAAAGTTTTTATCTAGGACCTTCCTTAAAAAGATAATAATAATTTATAAACTAGGAAGTGAAATAATTTGAAATTATCGCTGGCATATTTTTCTAAATAAGATAGTACGCCACTGCTTTACGGTAACAATCATGATATTTTCGATCTTTTAATTTTCTACAACTTACTACTCTCTTTCGAAAAATGCCTGATATTCGAGTAAAACTTAAAAAACGAACTAAAAATAACTAATAACATTAGTCATCATTTTAATGATTTCATTTGAGTAAATGCTCAAAAATACCTCCATTTCCACGAACACATCTTTTTAGTAACGAAAAAGTTGTTCGAAGTTTATTGTCGCTTGAAACTTTCCGTTAGTAGTTAACTAAATTATTGGTTTTAATATGATAGAGCTCCGTCACATATGCCCAGGCAGATGGATTACAAAAGGTGGTCCCATAGCATGGCCTCCAAGATCACCAGACCTGAATCGCCTAGATTTTTTCTTTTGGAGTTATTTAAAAAAAAATGTAGTAGCCCTTATGGGCGCTGCTGTCACGTTAATAGACCCAGAGATGCTACAATGTTGAATCGTGAAAATCTTTGCCTTGAAAAACAATTTCTATTATTTAAGCACTTTATATTTTTAATTTGTAAGTTTTCCTCTTCTTTTTATAAAATAGTTTTATTATTAAAATGTTTTTCTCTATCATTTTTAAGTTAAAATAATTCCTTATACACAGGTACAACCGACAATCGCAAATTATACTTACTTACTAATGGTTATAAATTTGTCTTAGTCCCTGTAAGCACAGACCTCAGTTTTGAGACAAAAAAATTGGATTTTCACTTTTTTAGTTTTTTGAATAGATATATATTTTTTTAATAACTCAACAAGGAAAAACAAACGTAAAATTTTCCACTCTTTCCAAATCCCAGAAGGACGGGCGTCACTTTTGGGACACCCTGTACAAAGCAATCTCTGTAATCAATTAACTAATTAATTAAACATAATAAACGTAATAGAAGGTATCTAAACAAATGAGACATTTTTTTCCATAAAATTCACTTCTAATTTAGAATAATGAGTATAAGGAAAAACATTCTTCATGTATTTTCTGGGAACATTAAACTGAAAACAAAATAAAGTGTAAGTGAAATGATAAGTAAAATAGGTCTTAAATAGTAAGCTGCAATCTGGATGTCTGCATATAAAGTTCAGTATGGTTACTGATGTTTCTCATACTATTCAATAACTTTAAATAAAGATATACCGAGAGATTTATATAACTTACAGAAAGTCATATTACTTACTTACCTCTATATTTATTTATAGCATTATATTTAGGTACTTAAAACACTATGCTATATTATGCCACAAATTAATCTAAACATGACTACTGAACTAACAAAGTTCTCTATACACGCACGGCAACTCCCCATCAGCCAAATGAGGTCATACATATTCACACTTTTATTCGTACTATACAGT